TAACTTCTACAGTACCATTTTGAAGCAGAGGAAGTTGAATCTTCACATGGTTAATTTAAAAAAATATGCAGCCAATAACATAAACTAAAGATAAGATCCTTCTACTAACGCAATCTATTTTTTTTTACATCTTAATGTTGACAAATTATTCAACTTCACATGCTTCTTTAAATTTCAAAATATGAACATGGTGCTACATGAGCTTGAAATCTAAATGTAAACAAAACAATACCTGCTGGTTACAAGTCATGAGCCAAGAAAAAAAAAGAAAAAAAAACGAGACAGAGTCATGAACATACTAAAATAACGTTAACATTTGCAAATCTCAATTCACTCAATCAAAGAAACATCATTCATGTGAAATGATTAAATACGAAAGAAACTTTATCAAAAGAACCAAATCAATTTGTTTCTGCTTCAATAAAGATGCTCCGACATTTTTTAACTCAAGAGCTTGAATTACATACCTACAAGAGAGTGAATTCAAATGAATAAAATCTGAAAGTTGTAGAGTCAATACAGCAGCAACAACAAAATCTCTATCAACTCTTCTTCAAACCCAAGATTCAAGGCCCGAAATATTGAAAGAAAAATTTAATGAAAATTTTCAACCTAAATTTCTCTCCTCCCCCTCTCTTCTTTTTTTTTTTTTCTCTTTCTTCTCAAATTTTCTCTTCTATTTATAGCAAATTTTTTGAGATTTTTTAGATTTTCTTTAAAAAAATATTTTATTATTTTATTATTTTTTAATTAAAACAAATCTCACTTACAAATTGCTTTTATTTTTTTATAAAAAGAAATCCCACATTTCTTTAATTTTATTTTTTAAATTCCAACTTTAATTACTTTTATCTTATTTAAAATCCCACTTTTTTTACTTTTTAAAAGAGAATTCCACTTATTTAACTTTTCTTAAAAAAACAATCCACTTTCTTTTGCTTTTCTTTTAAAAATGCTACTTTCTTTTACTTTAAATTTTTTTAATTTTCAGATACCTTTATATTTGTTTTTTAATTCCAACTTTCTTTTACTTTTTATTTTTTTAAAATTTCCACAAAACTTTACTTTTATTTTTTTAATTTTCTACTTTCTTTTACTTTTTAAAAGAGAATTCCACCTACTTTTATTTTTATTTTTTTTATTCAATACTTCCCTTTTTTTATTTTTTAAATCACTCCTGAAAATTAAAAAAAAAATTAATATTTTTTCGGATTTTTGTTTATTTTAAAATAAAAATAAAAATAAAATAATATTAATAGTAATAATTCACCTTTTAAATTTTGTATTTTTACCCTATAATAAAAAGTGTAACAAAGCTAAAAATTGTAGGTTAAAACCCCTAAAATATTTACATAGAAGAAGTGATAAAAAATTAAATATTATCAAAAATTAGGTGCTCACATCATATACAAGTAAAGATATTACCAGTGCATCATTATGCGGGGTTAGCACGTTATCTGCATCTGCATCATCAAATGTTATACCATCTTCTTCCAAAACTTGTCGAACTCGCTTCCTGTGGGTGACTGTAATTTTTGACACCTTCTTTGTTGCCATATATGTTATGCCATTGATCTCCTCCCCTCCAGTTATGACATTAACCGTTCTCTTTGGTGAAGGAGGTTTTGGCGATTCCTGCCTATTCTTTATATATGCTTACTTTCCCTTTTCACTAAACAATTCAGTTAAGTAACCTTGTTTTAATAAATGCTCTACTTCACCTTGTAGCAATCTGCAATCCACCGTTTTGTGTCGTGATCATTCTGAAATTCGTACCAAAAATCGTGATTTCTCCTGTTTGGGTTTGATCTCATTTCTTTTGGCCACCGTACCTTATTTCCCATTCTTCTTAAAACAACTACCAACTCGGATGTGCTAACATTAAAACTGTAGCCGTCGATTTTTGCTTTTGAGCTTCTGTCATCGTCTCGCGTATCTCGCATGTTTCGTTCTTTTCCGAACCTTGACAATGAACCTGACTCTCCATCCTTTGATCTAGGATCATACCTTGGTTTTTCCTGTTTTGAATGAGAATCCCTTCGTACTGGTCCCATATAAGGTTCGTACCTGTTTTTACCAGACCTTTTTTCAGTTTCAGCTCGTCTTGAACTCACTCTTTCATCTTTTCGGGACTGAATGATAGTATCTTCTTCTATCCGCAACTTTGTGATGTATCTATTGTAAACATCATTCCAAGTTGTTGCTGGAAATTCTCGTAAGCTTTCTTTGAGTTTACTCGTGGCTTCTGAGCTTTTTTCATTCAGATTACTAGCAAAAGCCATAGCCGCCCAGTTATTAGGTACACGTGGCAACATCATCCTTTCACGTTGGAATCTGTCTACGAATTCCCTGAGCAACTCCGTATCTCCTTGTTTTATTTTGAAAATGTCCTCCATTCTTTTTTCAACTTTTTGAGCCCCCGAGTGTGCTTTAATAAATGAATCTGCAAGCTCAGCAAAAGAATCAATAGAATTCTCAGGTAAAAGAGAATACCATGTCAATGCTCCCTTCGTGAGTGTTTCTCCAAATTTTTTTAACCAACACTGATTCAGTTTCTTGCTTGGTCAAATCGTTGCCCTTTACACCAGTTGTAAATGCAGTTACGTGATCCCGTGGATCAGTTATTCCATCGTACTTTGGGATATCAGACATCTTGAATTTCTTTGGAATCGGTACAGTAGCGGCACTTGGCTTCCAAGATTGTTGAGAGTATTTTTCCGTATCTATCCCCTTGATTATGAGCGGTACTCCAAGTATCTGCTCTATGCGATCGCTCTGCTCCTTGAACTGTTTCTGCAAAGTTAGTACTAAACTTTGTAAATCAGAATTAACCGGGTTACCTAACCCTCCATCACGAGATTCGCTAGGAGTTCCTCCACTGCCTGAGTTAACGAGTCCCGAGCGATGATTTTCTACGGTGTTGTTGTTTGGAGTTGGTGTTGGTGGTACAGCCGGCAACCTGTTGACAAAAGCTTGAAGGGCATTGCCGACCTGTTGAGCGATTAATTATTTCAATGCTTCATCAATAGCTTGATTATTCTCAACCTGCTCATTTATATTTGATTCAGATCCATCAGGAGTCCTTTCTCGAGATTGTCGAGGAGAGTGTTGTGGTGAGGGGACTGGAGTTCCATCACCTTGTTGGTTTAGCTGATGTTGCTGATTTTCTTGGTGCTGTAGATTTTGTTGGTTGTTGTCGTTGACATTCGACATGTTTGTTTTGACAGAAGAATTGATTTAGAAAGTAAAAGATTATCAGATTCCCGGTAACAGAATCAATTTGTTTACCAAAAATAGGAATTTCGGTCAAAGCGTAATTTTAGAAGAGCTCGGGTTACTGATAATCAAATAAAGAAATAATTGTATAACAAGAAAATAAAATTGGATTGAGAAGTAGCCGAGTAAGCAATATAAAACAATGTAAATAAGTATATTTCATAATAATCAGTGTGTCCATACAAATGTTATTTCTCTCCTTTTTATAGCTATTTCTAAGTACTACGTTTCTTTCCTCTCATAATAGAGCCATTATGAGCAATTAGTGACATTAATGAAACGTTATAATTGGCAATCATAACTGTTTCGTGAAGATTTTATAACGTTCCCCATCATTTATGCTCATTAATTGCAGATATTACGTATCTGTACTTTTTGTTGTCTTGGTTCATTCCACCGGTGTCTCTTCAAATTATCAAGAGACCTGAGTAACCGTTCCTTCTTGTTTTCTTGAATCTTTGCCCGTACCTATTAAGACCGCGTCTTTTTGAGTACTCTTTGCCAGCTGCTACTCTTTTGTTAATCCACGTGTCTTGACATGCCAACCACATAATTAATTCCAAATATTAACTCAGATTTTCCCAATACAGTTTGCATGTACTATTACTCTAGTAGGAAAAAAAAAGGATTATCACTAAAATTAAAAGAAAAAGAAAAAACGGGTTATGAAGACCATTGAAAATTCCCATCAAGCCAAAGAAAAATATCTTTCGCAAAAGTTGAAGAGTTTCTCAATCTTTTCTTCATTCCACACTTTGATCATAAAAAGGCTCATCTATAACTCTACATATTATTTCTTATGTCTAAATTTTTTGATTAATGCATAAATATCAGCTAGCAAATGTATGAAATTCAAGATAATAATTTAATTAGTCTATTGTGTAAGTGCTAGGAGAAAACTTTATATTAATAATTGAAAGTTACTTGTTACAAATATCAAAACATATATTTGATTAATTAAATGAATTTGTTTCTCTTTAATCAGTTAAAGTTGTGTGAAATAAACATTATCATTGAAATAGTATGAAATATCATACAATACCAAAAAATATAGTAACATAACTTGGAATAATAGGGCGAAAGTGTAAAGGTGTATAAAATGAGGTACGATTATGAAGATTATATTAGAAAACTAGCTAATTGTTAGTGGGAATAAAGTAAAGATGAAAAAAGAGTTGGAATATATAGATAACGAAAGCAAAGTTTATCTAAGAAACAGACCAAAATCTGTTATCCCCATTTTTCTCCCGCTAGGCTCGCTTCACTCAAATTGGCCCCATCACTTCCCCAATACTGACAATTCCACCTTCAAATTATCTTCACTAGCAGTGCCACTTTACTTTTTTCTTTTGGGGTTCCATTTTCTTTATTTTCTAGCCCTTTGTGTTAAATTTATCTTATTGACATTTCTTCAATGGTCCCTTGCACATTGTGGTTGCTTTGTCACTAAATGCTTGAATGGTCTTTTGAACAAGTAATATGCAGATTCTTGAATTGAGTTTATACTTTTTTGTTGCTCTATGAGTCTGAAAAATGTGGTCTATTATACATGTCCTTAATGAGCACTTCAATGGTCTTATGTCAAAATTTATTATCTTTCAAGGAAAGTACTAGCTCTCTTAACTCAGTATTTCTGCATAAAAATGCAATTGCTGTTAGTTGGAGGAGGAGGAAATCTTTTGGGGTTCCTCCAAATGCAAAGAAAAAGCAATCAAAGAAGAAAAGCTGGTGGAGAAAGTTCTTTCTTGAGGATGATGGGAATTGGTTGGGACTAAAGGATGAGGATTTGCTTGATGGACTTGAATCTGAAGGCTTAGGTAGTGATGATAATGATGAGTTATCAGAGAATGAAAAGTTTGAAGCTTGGAAAAGACGAGCCGAGGCGATAATGGAGTTAAGGGAAGCACAAGAAGATATAAAGAATGAGGAGAATAAGAGGTGGGAGGATTGGCTTGTGGATGGAAATACAGTTGATTTAGGTAATGGTTCATCTTGGGTTTCAGATTCCAATGACGCCATAGGAAAATCTGAAGATAATAAAATGCAGGAAGATCCTAGTGAATTGATACCTGGGAGGGGTTTAGTTAAGTCCGTGAGGGATATGATAATCGGTAGGGAAGACGATGATATGCTATATGAAGATCGGATTTTTCAGTATGCTTCATTTAACTCTGTGAGTACATTTGTGTTTAGTTCTATGCTATTTACTACAATTTACCTAGTTCTTGTTGTTATTCTCATTCAAATTAGCGTCCATTGGCCTGCGATTAGCTTAAATGTAGTAACATGGTCAGTGAGGATTCATATAGCCGGCCCAACTTGTTTGTGACTGAGGTATAGTAGTAGTAGTTGTTGTTGTTGTTGTTTTCAGGTTAGTCTCCATAATCCTTTAGTGTCTATAATCTTTCTGGCTGCTCTATAGTTCAACTTATTGTCAACTTATAGGCAAATTAGTTTAGGTGAAAATTTTGCAAAAACCTATTAGAATGTAGAATAATAAGGTCCAATAATTACATATGCGAAAGCTCCTTGCAGTTCACTAGCTTGTACAGTGAACATATGGTAATAGAGTATTTTCGATATCTCAAGAAGGGTTGAGGTAATAGCTAATGCTACCAAAATGGAGTATCAAGATTAAGGAGCTTCTGCAAGTCAATTTATTTTCCTTTTCTTTGTTATGCTTGATTAGAAGAGGGGCCTTGAAGCAGTGTAAAGTTGTCTCTGTGTGACCTATAGGTCATGGGTTATAGCTGCGGAATGGTTGTGTTCGGGTAGACTGCTTACGTCACATCCCTTGGGGTGCGGCCCTTCCTCTGACCTTGTGTGAACGCGGGATGCTTTGTGCACCAGGCTGCCATTTTTTTGTTATGCTTAACTAATTGTAAAGTTTATGAATCTAGAAACATCCAACACATCTGATATTATCATGTTCTTAGCACTGAGAATTCCCAAACTTCACATCTGCAATGTACTCTTTAAGCTTCATATTAGGAGTTATTGTTCTCTTCCTGTTGCAGGCTAAGTTTTTGGCAGTGCTGATAATTGTCCCATGGGCTTTGGATTTTGTAGTTCATGATTATGTTCTTATGCCGTTTCTTGACAGGTAACTTCTGTTTGGCTTTGTTTTCATTCCTTTTGGTTACATAGCTGAAGTGATTGATGTTTGATCTTTTGTACCTAACTAAACATGTTTGACTACCAAATGTTTTCCTATATTTCTTTTGCTAAGACCTGATAATGATGGTACCACTGTAGGTAACTAAACCATTCTCTGTTACATAAATGATTGATTAATGGCCAACCAAGAGTTACCATTTCCCAAAGGATCTACTGTGAAATCTAAAAGCACCATAACATGTCATTTAGATTGTTCAAACTCTAGAAGTCCAATGACAACAGAATCATGTGTCCACATGCTGGATGAAAATGTTGCTTCATCGGTTTCTTTCAATATCTTTTAGTTCCGATAGCCAGGGGTGACTCAAGCACATACCCTAAAGCCAAATTTTAATATGAGACCTAAATTTTTAAAAGAAAGTTATACGATATATTTTTATTTGAAGTCTATTCTTCTAACTCTGTGAGATATAAAGTTGTTAATAATTTTTTTTATAATCGATTTTCTCTAATAATTCTTGCTCGATTAATAATATAGCCAATTTATTTAATCTTTCTTGAGATATGATCTCGTCCAAGTCACACCTCTATTTGAGGTTATGAAACGGTCGATGCAGTAGTAATACCCAACAAGGAGTCGGGGTCGATTTTCCGCAGGGAGCTATGAATGGACTTAGGAGTATATAGTTTAGTGAATGAGCTTGAATTATCTCAAATTGCACTTCCACAAAATTGGGTTGTTTTTAAGTCTAAGTCAAACTAAGATTACCAACTAAGAATTAAAACTAGGAAATTATTTTTGTTGTTTTTCAAATGATATAAAAGGCCTAGGGCTATGACCTTCACCTAGGTGTTTGCCTAACGGGTTGTAAACTTTAAAGCTTGTTTTGTTGGTCGGGATGTATTATAGCTATCAATACTCAAGTACCCACTCAATACCTCTCGGTAAGAGAGTGATTTTGCCCAATTCGGCTTTCTCAAGTCCAAATGGGTATTGAACAAAACGGTTGATAAAAAACTCAAGTCAGGTTTTACTATCTCTAGGTTCAACCCTTTAATTGAGATCATCAATCTCTTGATTTACCCCAATTTCTTGTTAGCCTAGTTTTCCTAGACTAAGTCTCTCTTTCTCAAGTAGAAACCAAGTCAAATAGGCATGAACTAATGTTTGCAACCATTAATTCTACAATTAAAAGCAAGAACAAGGCTAAATAATAAAAACCCAACCATAAACAAGCAATAAATCAAACACCCATTAAGTTTACGCTCTAGGGTTGGGTCACAACCCTAGTGAAAATCTAGCTACTCATGCTTAAAACAGAAGAAATAGAAGAAGAAATGATAATTAAACCCATATTGGTGATTAAAATAATGAAATCTATGTTCACAAAGCTCAAAATGGCAAAAACTACTAAATAGGGTAAAGAAAAATGTCTACTGTGGCTGCTGATATTCAAAACTTGACTTAAAAAAGTGAAACTCTTCTATTTATGCAAAGCTGAAATTTTCGGACAAAATGACCCTTTCAGAGGTTCTGTGGCCGCACAATTTCATGTGCGGTCCGCACTTTGCTTCAGCTTAACAGGATTTGAATCTTGCGGCCGCATCTCTCTTTTTTTGCGGTCTGCACATTTCTATGTGCGGCCGCACATGGCTCTTCTGCGGACCGCACAAATTTAACTACGGTCGTGTAGCTTATCTTCTGCGGCCGCACAATAATTGTGCGGGCCGCACAATAATTGTGCGGTCCGCACTTCCTTTAAACTTGATATGTAAACTCTTTGAACTTTTGCTCTTGCTTAGCTTCTGCGGCCGCACATGTTATGTGCGGACCGCACTTTGCACTTGTTTCTAATAAGTTTGTCTTCACAATCTGCGGCCGCAAATAATATTCTGCGGTCCGCACTTTGAGCTTATGTGCCTGTTTTTGTCCTTGAGTTCAGATCACTCCTTGAGTTGGATTTCATCTTAGTGGCTCATTTTCCAATACTCCTGCAATTAAGCATATTTTATCAGTTTTCGGGAGCACAGTTAAACGCTTTTGGACTAAAACGAAAGCTAAAAGGCGCTAATAAGTAGTAGAAATCCCCACTTATCAAGATATTGTTGATCTTAGATAAGATTTTACAAAGCAATAGAAGTATAGAACTATTGGAAGATTAAAAGTATTGCTGAACACTTGAACTAGTTGAATCTTGGAGAAAGGTGAGTAATGAAATCTTGGAGAATAAAGTGAGTAAGAATATCAAAGAGAAACATAAAAAATATGTAGGGTTTTCTGAAATATGAAGAGATTAGAAAAAAAGAAAGATTGACTTAGACAAATTAAGGAAGAGAGAGCAAAATTTTTAATGAAGGAGTAAAAAATGAAAACTAAAAGTTATGAAAACTATTCATCTACACATTTTTAAGTAAGTCAAATTATTATTTTATTTATATATCTAAAAGGTTTTCTTTCCTTTATGGAGTATTAAAAACTCTAGTTTTGTATTAAAAATACTACTAAATATTATTTTTTAAATACCTATGAACCTATTATTTTTTCAAAAATGGGGCCCCTTAAATTTGGGGGCCTAAGGCACAAGCCTTACTCCACATAAGGTTGGAGCCGGCCTTGCCGATAGCCGTAGTGTCTGGGCCAGCTTGCGGGCACGTCGATTAATTCCACAGGATACTTACTACTGCTCACCAGCAACAAGTACCAGGTAACTCTGTCCACCAAGGCTTGGACAGATGGCAAGAAAACATCTAGTAGCCTCCGCTGAGATTTGAACCCGAGACCTCATGTTCTGAACCCACTTCAACTTACCACTAGGCCACTTGGGTGCTAAATCTAACATCTCTTTATATTCACGCCATTATAAATGTTTCAGAGAAAATGTTAAATCTCTGTTCTTCATTGTGCTAAGTTAACTCATTATCTTTCTAACTGCATAGAGATGCCTTCACCGGCAGCATTTGACTGGCCATGTGGCGTAAGTTAGCTTTTATATTGGATTTATGTAACAAGATTTCATAATTGGTCTTTTTCTGCGTGTCCCCAGCTGGAATGTATTACATTATCAAAATGAAAACTGTGCAGGTTTATTCTTCTGAAAAAAAAGAAAACTGTGCTGGTTTATTCTGGGTAGGATTAACTCGTTTGTTAGAAAACTGATGCTCTTTTATGAGCTTTTGTCGTAAGCTTTGCTGACTTCATCTTTATCCCAAAAAAGTAGGTTTGCGACTTCATTTATTACTTGTTCTAATGGTTCTAAGCCTACTCAAAAGTCATTTTCGTAATCAAGAACTACTTCAAGAAGTTTTCTCTTACTTGTTAGTGCGACAAATTCTTTATAGACAGTAGACTGGTAACATAGCTGTTCAAGCGTATTTCTTGAGATTGTGAAGATACATCCCTGCACTACCTTGGCTGACTTCTAAATCTTAGAAAACATTTTACTTTTTGGATGAGTATAGATAATACAACAATACAGTTCTATGGAAATATTATACTTCTTGCATGCTTATTTCCTATTCAGCTAGATATTACTTGAGAAGGTACTTTTCCTGCTGATGGTTGCTAGTATGAACGGAACTCCCGTTTAAGCTTTGTGTTGACTTTCTTATTTGTCATGGTCAGATATGTTAAGACTGTACCTTTAGCAGCACAGATGCTTGATGTCAGAAGAAACCAAAAGCTTGAAATGGTTAAGGAACTGAAGACTGAGCAAGCGCGCTACCGCTTTGAGGTTGAGATTGGTAAATCTCCACCTTTGTCCGAAAAGGAGCTGTATCTGGAGCTACGACACAAAGCGTAAGTTTTACCGTAGCTGATGCCTGTTCTAATTATGTTAATCTGAAGTGCTCCAAGAAATTTAGCTCATACCTTTCTTTGACCTACTTATCCACCTGATGTTAAAAGATTTGGTAGGAAGGCAACAACTGATTTTTGAAGGAGAGAGTGTTTGCACACACATTGGATAATCTTGCCTTGAACAATAAAATTCCTAGTGTCAAAAAGAAAACAAAGGGCCTTCTGAAGACAGCTACCACTTTGTGTGTTCTTTTCTTTGAGCTGATAAATATATTAATAGACTACATTTGTATTTTAGATTTGACTTCGTATTTTACAATATATTTATTGTATTGTACATAAGAACCGTATTGGGGTAGGGTGGATGAAATGAAGGTTAGCGTCTGGAGTCCCGTGTGACAAGAATGTGCCACCGAAACTCAAAGGTTAGTTCTATAGAGCGGTGGTTAGATCGGCCATGTTGTATGGGGCTGAGTGTTGGCCAGTCAAGAATTCACATATCCAGAAGATGAAAGTAGCAGAAATGAGNAGATGAAAGTAGCAGAAATGGGGATGTTGAGATGGATGTGTGGGCACACTAGGCTGGATAAGATTAGGAATGAAGATATTCGGGAGAGGGTGGGCGTGTCTCCGGTGGACAGCAAGATACGGGAAGCGTGACTTAGATGGTTTGGGCATGTGCAGAGGAGAAGTTTAGATGCCCCGGTTAGGAGGTGTGAGCGGTTAGCTTTGGCAGGTACGAGAAGAGGTAGAGGACGGCCTAAGAAGTACTGGGCTGAGGTGATCAAACAGGACATGGCGCGGTTTCAGATTTCCGAGGACATGGCTCTTGATAGGAAGGTGTGGAGGTTGAGCATTAGGGTTGTAGGTTAAAGGGTAGTCGAGCGGTTTTCCTTTTTGTCCCGATTTCCCTCTTTGTACTGACGAGTATGATAGTGTTTTGTCTAGCTCTGCTAGCGATTTATGTTGCGTTTTGCACTTTTGCATAATATTTGTGTTACTGCTTTCCCATTTATTTGTTGTCTCTCACGTTGCTGATATTATTTTTCGGGTTTTGTTGTTACAAATCTATTGTCTCTGAGCTGAGGGTCTCCCGGAAACAGCCTCTTTACCCCTCTGGGGTAGTAGGGGTAAGGTCTGCGTATACTCTACCCTCCCCAGACCTCACTGGTGAAATTTTACTGGGTTGTTGTTTTTGTTGTTGATTGTACATAAGAAATTACAGCTTGTATGATTCATCTAAATACATGCAATAACTCAATCTATTGGCTTGAGAGGGCTTTTATATTATCCTTCCCTGAAATCATCTTATAACATGTCTCACTTATCCTGATATGGCTTTTATTTGATTTCTGATACTGTTAGCCTCTGGGCCACTGCATGTGCAGGTTAGAGTTGCAGGACGAGTGGAGGTTAGAAAATCGAAAGGCATTTGCTAATATATGGTCGGACTTTGTCTTTGGGGTCTCATTATTCATTCTTTTGTACTTCAATGAGAGTAAAGTAAGTTCTCTTCCAAATGTTTGAATAATATCTGTCTTTCAACAAAATTTACCTCTTTGCCAATATACTTGTATCGTCTATGTTATTGGGTGAAAGCCGTTAAAGTGAAATGATCAACTTGCTTGGACTTGGTGTTATTAAGATAAATAAAGGAAATCTTTTTAACGCCATTTTCCCCTCATAACGCTCTTGAATCTTGATTGTTGTTTGCATGTTGTAACCTGTAACTTTTTACTACTACTCTATCCACTACCACCACATAAGAGATGTCGCCAGCCTTTATCACTCATCCACCACTGTGAGCCACCACCACCAACCACCCCTACAGCCAGTCATACCACCTCCTCCTTCAACCTCTACCGCACAACCACCATTGCCAACCACCTCCACCACCAGTCTTCATCATACAACTACCAGCAACCACCTCCACTACCAGCCACCACCACTAGTGACACTGCACAACCATCACTTTTGGCCATTGTCACATAACCACCATTAATCACCACTTCACAACCACCATTGACATCAACTCCACCAACAACTACCACCAGTCACTACCTCACAACTATCACTACTTGCCACCACCAACAACTGCAACACCACTAGCTTTTAGAGTGTACTTCATCAAACAAATAGTTTTTACAACACGGGGTAATTTAAGATTTTCTCTTATATTATGTGGATATAATATGTAATTTTGTTTTATTTGAGTTCATATTTATTAGTTGTAAAATAAAGATAAATTATACAATTTGAAATGCCGAGAAAACAAAGTCTTAATTCTTCAGATTTAAAGACAATACATGTATTCAGATTTAGACATCTTAATTAATTAAAAAACAAATGGGGCCTCAGTCATTATTTTCCTTTCACAAATAGGGTTTCTAAAGTGTACTTCCTCAATTTTTGTAGTGTTTCTAAGTTTAAAACTTTTTTGTCAATATCTGCAGGTGAAGCTACTCAAATTTACTGGTTACAAGATATTAAATAATGTCTCGGACACCGGCAAGGCGTTTCTGATTATTCTGGTTACTGATATCTTTTTGGGGTAAAGTTTGATTCTATTTCATGCTTTTGACCTTATTGAATGTTCTAAAGGAACTTATCCGTAAATATAGCACCTATCCATGTTAGCTAATTTATATAATAGCAGCAACTTCATCTCAGAAATAAATAAAAGGCAACTTCAGTTCATTACTTTTCAATTTTCAGAAGCAAACGGTTTAAGTAACCTAACACCTTTTTGGGATTTCCTCAAGGATGGAATTTAAAATTTCTGTTGCACTTCCAACTAAAACGATGTGCAAGGACTAGATGTAAAATTATTACTCTCATTCCCTAAAAGTTTAGTGGTACCAATCCTTGTTTCACTCCCTTTTATTCCTATGCATTTCTATTGTTTGGGCTTCTATTTTTTCTTTGGAGACTGTCAGCATTTCCCACTTCTTAAAAGTAAATAGAAGCCACCCTTCCAGAGCTCCATCATGTTGGATAATGCGGTGAATGTGTTTCAGGTATCATTCTGAATCTGGGTGGCAGACTTTGCTCGAGGTCCTTGTGGAGCATTATGGTATTGAAGTCGATCAAGCAGTGATAACCATATTTGTCTGCCTGGTTCCAGTTATAATTGATGCCTGTGTGAAGCTTTGGGTATGTGCTACTTTTTCAATAACTTGGACTCTTTTTTACTTTAATCTGGATGGTGAACAAAGTATATACTGTAAACTCCTTCCTGACCATCATGGATTGTCTTATCGGTTAAAATAAGCCTATTAGTTTTTTTTGAGAAGGAAAAAAAAAACTAATAGGCTTATTTTAACCGATAAGACAATCCATGACGGTCAGGGAGGAGTTTACAGTCATTGTTACTCGCCAATGCATATTAGTTAAAGTCATTGTTACTCGCCAATGCATATGTTCTCTTTGATTTACAAGAGTGCATCCAAGCTTTATATGCTGTAAACAGGGGCAGAGCTAGCGTATACGCTATGGGTTCACACGAGCCCAGTAGCTTTTGCTTGGATCCTGTAATTGTATTAGAAAATTCATTAAATATGTATAATGTTTAATTACAAACCCAATAACTAAGACGAGCTATGAGTTCGATGACAAGTTTAGAATCCATAAACTTCAAATCCAGACTCAAGTTTGGCCGTAAAGTCTTCCTTGACCCTCATGCATTCAAAAGAAATGAAATTTTAGCATAAGTCAGCTTCTTTTGCTAATATTCTTAGAATATCATTTTCCTGCTGTTTGTAGAAATCCGTTTACCATGTGTACTTTATCTATGGTATTGGAAGCAATGCAACCCATAGTTCTATCTAACGGAAGACTTCGTTTTTGCTTTCCAGATGTTTAAGTTCTTGCCGAGATTATCACCTAGAGTGTCCAATATTTTCCGGGAAATGACGAGGCATTAAAGAGACTTTCCCTATCTCTGGTTTTGGTTGCAGCAGCATCGACAGGTAGAACATCTGATTATTTGATATTTCAAATACATTTATCCTCTCTTCCACTTTTCCATATAGAGGCTCCATACCCTGATATTGGAGTAAAGTGTAAAAGCACATTTTGTATTTTTTTCATAATGTGAATAGCTTGTCATCGAAGTGGCGTCATTCCTTGAATATCTTGGATCAGAATTGTGGGAATATTTGTTACCCCCCATCATTTGTTTGTTTACAATAATCAGATTCTGAACAAAAAAGTTCGTCAGAGGTTTGAAAATACCTCTTTATATATCTATTTATCGCCTCATCTGGAAACTCTTTATATGATCTAAACTTGATATGGATAAACACTATAATTGTGGTTTCTTATTCACATGAGAGTGTCTAGCATGCACAACCATGTAAAAAGAGGCTTACCAATGTCGAAGAAGCCATAGACCAAATGCAAGCAACATTTCATCTAGCCAAAATATTTGGCTATGAGCTTGAAATGTATTTCAAATTTATTTTAGTGTGGTCACACAAGGTAATGGAACATTACAACTTGGAATTTTGATATTATTTTTAGGACAACATCATTCAATTTACAATTGTCTTCGATGAGCTTTCGTACTTTGCAAAAACATTATGCACTATACAACAAATTAAATAATCATCTAAAATTTCTTAACCAATGTTGTTTTGTAAACCATTTTTGTGCGGTTGTAGATTAGAATGATCTTTACTCAATTGCAACAACGACATGTAGATGAAAGTCAACTTCACATGTAAATGAACAAGTAATCAAGTTTGATCCAATTTTTTCTCAGCCATAACTTTAGCCAGATCCTTAACTCCCTTCAAGTTGAGAAGCAGCTACACACTCTCACGCATTGATTATTAACTTGCCAAGTTGGAAACTAAGTTTTGAAACTTGCAATCACAAAACTCACTTGGATAATACTTGTGCAATTTCATAATCTATCCTTGTAAAATTAGCAAACGAATCAACTGGACTTGAACTAGCTATTCGCAGGAGGAAGTCAAATACTTACTACAGCAACCTGATTGTTAACTAAAGTTGCAATGATAAAAACATAAAAAGCTTTAACATGATTTGAATTAAAAAAACTGGTCAGTTGAATTTTAAACATGATTATACAACTCTATTGCTTGGACAAACATTTCTGATCCGTATTAGAGATTTGAAATTAAGGGGGAGGCATTTACAAACTGCAGGAGAAATTTGTTAATTGTTCCTTTATTACAAGTTGGATCTACTGGTGGCAGAGGAAACTACAGCGTCTGTAATATATTACAAAGGGAAAATTATACACTAAAGATAAACTGGTTCTGTTTCTTGATCATGGCAAAATGATTTGTGCCTTGAGAAATTATTTCACCTCACTTTTATGGAATTGTAGATATCTATGTATTTCCCTGCTGTATTATTCCAGCTATTGTCAATACGCATAACTTTCTGTACGATAGCTTTCCATTCATTTGGTTCTGCATTATAATTGAGAACAACATATCAATCAAACAATTAAATCTGTATCTCAAAGTAGTTGGAGTCAGTTCTACGGATCCTCTCTATCAAAATCTTATTTTGTTTTGTGAGGTGAATGAGGGACTAGTCAAGCGGCATTCTTTGAAGGAAATCAGCAGGAGAAAAACTACATGGATATTCAAGGATAAAGTGACTTACTTTCTCGATAGTAAGAAAATGCACGGTCTATAGCCAGGTTAAAGGATCCTTCATCAATTCCTTCAAAGACAAACCTACATATATAATATGCTGACCATTTCAGACTCATAATTGGAATGCCAGTCAAACTTACTGATTAAAAAAGACAACAGGAAAACAGAAAAAGGATCCACCACCTAACAAGTTTTTTTTTATAAAAAAACAAAACCAACACAAAAAATATGGCTCTTACTGCAACAACCATCCTTAAACTTCTTTCACAGTTGCTTTATATTGAATTTACTTAAGCTGAAACCAGTGGGTTCGCCATGACTTCTTTTTTAAAACCCCTTTAGCTCTGAAATTTAGCAATGTAGCTTGTATTATCAGTAAGAATATTTTTCTTGAATAAGAAAACCTATGCAAACTCAGAAAGCAACTGCATGAGTTGTTTTTCATTGAGGTGAATGATGATCAACATCAAATACCACATTTGTTGCTTAATTCCTCTATTTATTCTCATCCTTGATATAGAAAACACACACACACACACACACACAGAGTTAAAGTCCAGAATCCAATTCATCCTCGAAAGCTAATGGCACGACTAGCATCAATTTTTAGTACGGGATTTCAAGAATTTGAACAGTTACCCATTAGCAATCTCAGCTTGAGATTGATCATCCAAGTCAAAAACCGTGTCCGCGAGACCACCCGTCTTCCTAACTATTGGAACCTGAAACAGATGCAAAAATTACTTGTTGTTGTTTCTTTCTTAAGATGGAATGCTTTATGTTTCTGGAAGCAATAATTGGATAAACCACCATTTTGTCTTTTACAAAAAACACACACAGCCTTAAATAAAACCGTTCTGACAAGTTCTATCTACCATATAAATATGTCAACTCAGAAGCAGAAAAAGAATCAGATATTTTCCCCAGCTTTAACAACGTAAAATGGGAAAAACAAACTATTCTTAAAAAGTAAGAGTACTTACAGCTCCATAACGCATTCCAATCATCTGTGCTAGCCCGCATGGCTCATACATTGATGGCACTAAGACCATGTCTGCAGCAGCATAGAGCATATGCGACAGCTCCTCGCTTCATGATTGATGCCATTTGAAAGAAAATTGATCAGTCGTGTTAATCATTCCCTCATGCATCCAGAGTATACAAGTGGTTCGTATAATTTGAAGTTCATTAAATCAGATAAAGAATAAATCTTTACCAAGATACATAAACATTACCAGTAATATTTCTTGAAGGTTAGGAATATTAAATAATCAATTGGCTTTCAAAAATAGTTACCTGTACATCAAAAGGATACGGATGTTGGGGCCCTTGTTATACTACAAAGAAAGTAATTGATATCACCATTGCATGGTCATTCAGAAAGGTTTAAAAACACAACCAGATCTATTGGACTCCTTCAAAATAAAACACGTTCTCTCAAATGTGAAAAATACGTACCGGTGGAAATTATAAGCAGGATGGAATTACATTTGTTAACATATGAAATCACTAACTGTTTATTACGTCTAGCTTACTCCAGAGGAGAACTTGGGAACATGCATTAATAAGCAATTAGTGCAGTTGAGTAATTCTATCACTACTCTTCTTTTTCTGTTCCTTTTTCTCTTTGGTTTATCAATTGGCATTTCTTTCAGGTCAAAGGCAGCCCTTTGGTATGGACCCTGACATCTAAATCATTAAATAAGTCCGACCTAAAATCATAAAAGAATGGTAAAGAGAAGGAAAACTAAAATGGTGACCATGAACTGTCTTATCAGTGGTGATGCTTCCATTTTCTATCTCATGGTGATGAAAAGAACCGTACATGTCCACAGCATGCCAGCCAGAAGAATATTTCAATTTTCAAGTCTAGAAATTTGAGTTACCAATTCTGCTAAACCTTCAAATTCTCTCTCAACTCGACCATCTGAAGCCCTGCCCAAAATCACCAACTGTCCACCCTGAAAAAGATGCCAGCAGCAGACTTCAATTACAACGCCAAATTAATACCCTATCAGCTGGCCAAAAAATCCTACGGATAGTTGCAAACTTGCAACTGCCGTTAGGAGATCATACAAGAAGAAATAATAAGTGTGACGACCCGGCCAGTTGTCTCATGAGTTATCGCTCCGTTTTTCCCCATTTCTGCTTCTTTATGCTTTGTTTATCCGTGTTATGTGGTATCGGGTTGGTCGGATCGAGTCTCTTTTAAGGAAGTTTAAGTTGGAAAAGTCAACCGGATGTTGACTTATGTGTTAGAGGGCTCGAATGTGAGTTTCGATGGTTCGGTTAGCTTCGGGAGGTGATTTGTGACGTAGGAGCGTGATCGGAATGAATTTTGGAGGTTCGTATTAGATTTAGGCTTGAATTGACGAAGTTGATATTTTGACGATTTCCGGTTGGTAGGCGAGATTTTGATATAGGGGTCGGAATGGAATTCTGAGAGTTGTAGTAGCTCTGTTGTGTCATTTGGGATGTGTGTGCAAGATTTCAGGTCATTCGGACGTGGTTCGGTTGGGTTTTTGATCAAGAGCGGAATTTGAAATATTTTAGAAAGTTTTGCTTGAATCTGATGTGTTTTGGGTGATTTGATGTTGTTTGAGGTGTTTTGAGGATTGGAACAAGTTTGAATAAGGTATTGGGATATGTTTGTGCTTTTGGTTGAGGTCCCGGGGGCCTCGGGGTGATTTCGGATGGCTAATGGAGAAGTTGGAATTTTGTTGCAGCTGTTGAATGTGCTGCTTCTGGTATTTCCGCACCTGCGGATTGGGGACCGCAGGTGCGATAAGGGAGGTCGCAGAAGCGGAAAGTGCTGAGAGAGTCAGGAACCGCAGAAGCGGTGAGATGGACCGCATCTGCGATGTCGCAGATGCGGATGAGGGATCGCAGAAGCGGAAAATCGTAAGTTAAGTGATTTCGCAGAAGCGGAGAAATAACCGCAAATGCGGTACCATAGAAGCGGAAAAGGGGCCGCAAATGCGAAAATGACTGGGCAGAAGATATAAATTGTAGCCTTCGCGAATTTTAGCTAATTTCACCATTTTTATCTCGGCTTTGGAGCTTTTTGGACGATTTGAAAGAGGGATTTCAAGGGAACTTCATTGAGGTGAGGAGTTTGGACTTAAAACTCGTTTTTATGCTATTATTACACGGATTAGAGCTAGAAATCATGGAAATTAAGGGTGAAAATTGGGGAAACTAGAGCTTGGAAACTTAGACCTTTAATTGGGGATTTGAAGGACTATTTGGGGTCGGATTTGAGAACTTTTGATATGTATGAACTCGTGGGGAGATAAGGAATCTATTGATGTAAAAATTATTGAATTCCGAGACGTGGGCCCGGGGGTCAGGTTTTGGTAATTTCGGGATTTGTGTCGTATTTTGATTATTTTCGCTTGGGCTTCGCTCCCTTAGCATATTTTGACGTCCTCGTTCTGATTTTGGATAGATTCGACGCGAGTGGAGGCCGATTCGAGGGGCAAAGGCATCGCGAGCTAGAGATTTGACCAGTTCGAGGTGAGTAATGATTGTAAATGATGTTTTGAGGGTTTGAAACCCCGGATTTGCACATCGTAGTGCTATATTGAGGTGAGGCACACGCTCGATGACGAGTGTGGGGTCGTGCACTATTGGGGATTGTGACTTGGTCCGTCCCGACTGATGATTTTACCGCGTATTTGATTGAAATCTATTTGTTATCATCATTATTTGGGCCGAATGTCATATTTGGGCCTTATGCCAACTATTTGAACCCTTCGAGGATTTTTACTGGTACCTCCTCACTGTTTTGACTTTATACTTGAACTCAGTCATGTTATATTTCACTGTTTTCGTACTCATCCATGTTTACTTTGTTTTAACACTTAAATGATCTTTTAAATGATATTTTGGGCTGAGAAACATGTTTTACTACTGCCCGAGTGGCTTGAGAGGATTTTTTTTCTGAGTAAGGCCGAGGGCCTATGTTGTGAGAAAACATTTGATACTGATTATGAGGCCGAGGGCCTGAGATATGTACGCCACAAGGTGGCTTAATTGATATGAGGCTGAGGGCCTAGTGATGATGTCACGAGGCGGCTTGTTATTGCGCTTGGGTCGTAAGGGGGCCCTCCAGGAGTCCATACACCCCCAGTGAGCGCGGGTACCCACTGTAATGTGAGATTGAGCCCGAGGGGCTGGTATTGTTCTATGTGATTGCCCGAGGGGCTGGTACTGTTCTGAGATGTTGCTCGAGGGGCGGACTTGTTGATACTGTGCCCGAGGGGCGAGCCTTTATGTGTTTACTTTTCATAATTGACTGTCAATTACCTGCTTAATCATTGAAAAAGACTTTTCATGAAACTACATTTGAGTTAAAGAATTCTACCTATCTTTCACTGATTTACTGATTTTAAATGGTTTTACTGCTTCATTATAGAATATTTTGTGTCTTACGTGATTTCTTGCTTTCAGTCTTTATTTACATTTGTTACTCATTGAGTTGGAGTACTCACTTTACTCCCTGCACCCCTATGTGCAGATTCAGGCGTTGCGGATCCTGCCAGTGCGAATTGAGAGCTCCCGGCAGATATCGGAGTCCACGAGGTAGCTGCTTGACGTCCGCAGTCACGTGTTTCTCCCTCCTTATCATTTCTATCTCTTATCAGACATTTGTAATAGTTTGTAGACTCTTCAGACTTGTATTAGGTTTTATAGATGCTCATGACTAGTGACACCCCGGTATCGGGCTGTGTTGGGTTATTCTTCCGCGTATTTATGATATTATCTGCTACTTTGGATTATTTAATCATGTTTCGACTGTTTCTTAATGCTTAATTGTTAATAAATCGGAAAATGGGAGGTTTCGGCTGGCTTTGTCTTCACGAGAGGCGCCATCACGACCGGGTCCGGGTTTAGGGTCGTGACAATAAGAGGTGACAATCTTCTTTTTCACATGAGAAAACAAACACGACCTGGAAGTTGCGTGTTGCGCTATAGTTGTATTTAGTAACTTGAACAGTAACAGGAGGCTTATCTTGCTCTTCTTTTCCAATAAAAAATGCTTCAAATGGGCAAGGGAATAAAACTTTTTAGCATGCACTAAAACGGTAGCTGGCCAAGATTTTAAGGCGAGTTCGAAAAACATATGTTAGTATACTTGACACGATGAAAGCAACAATAATAGATCATTATTAGAGGCATGCTTGTCTCTGTAGACTTGAGTATTGTTTGAACCATACAGCCAGTATGCATTCTCCGACTCCCCTTGCTCAGGTGACCCTATATCCTCGGGGTGGGGAACTGGTGGGCGTTATATGTATCAAAATTTGAAAGGCGATAGACGAATCGGGATTCTACACACTTGGCATGGTTTATACACAGGATTGTGTTGGGAAGTGCAGAGAGTAGTTTAACAAATTTTGTGCTTGTGATGGAGAAGTAAGGCACATCATCTTGATGACTCTCTTTTGCTCATAAATGATAAATGATCATCCAACTGAATATTTCATAGAGAAAATGCATCCTATGTGCTGTTTATGTGTACATTTGACCGATTTGATGGCTGTTTTCCCGAGTCTAGGTGAACTTTTGCCAAAAAGAATGAGATGGGGATAAACACTTACTAGTTCTTCAACATGCTTGATCGCATGAGTGATAAGATGGAGACCCTTTTGAGCGACCAATCGAGTAATGCAGATAACCAAAGGTACTTGATCAGCCACACAAGCACTCTGTTTAATGCTTTCAAAAGGCAGACCAAGTCCCCTTTGAACAAATTGTTTGCATATCCTCTTCCCTTCAATTTTGCTGGCTTGCAAAACACAAAAGTGAAATAAGAAGAGTTGAAGAAAATATCCTTACTTGTTACATAACAAATCAAAAATGTATTTTCCAAAGGAAAAGTCCAAATCTAGTAGTTCGCAAGAGAAATTAACCATGAGAAAGCCACATTCTCCGGATGGGGCTCATCTCTGGGAGACTCAGTAGAAATACTGGAATGAACTTCTAGGTGCATACGTTTCTCTTCCACCGTCGAGTTCAAATCACGCCGCACTTTGATAAACTCAATTTAGATTCAATGACCAATGACTGGTACTAGCTATGACACAACTATCGTAATTAATATGCGGGAGTGGAGCATGAGGCTTTTAGGGAAAACATAAAGAGTTTGGTAATTTCCTGTAACCATGCAAATCGGTTCAAGAAAACAGCAAGCTAGTCTAACCAGAGTATAGAGCCTAAATACAAGCCCCTGAGCTATGATCAAAGAGCGTCTGAAATTCCCCAAAGACTTGCTTAGGGTTGCTTCTTGTTCACATGCCAAAAAGATTTTATTAAAGATTGTCCTGCATTTGTTGGATTATGTAAAGATTGTCCAACTTTTCTCATCCCATTTCTGGGCTTTGTGCTCTACACTTCATTTTATATGAACTAGAAATCACAATATTCCCAGTTTCATCATGTCCATGTAACAACTAAAGAATGAAAACTAATTGACAGCTCTGTCCTGTTACCTGATTGAATGGCAATGTCTATTAAGTGCAAACTCCTAGTGTCTCACAGTTTCAAGAATATAAACTATTGAAGAAGACAACAAGAAAGCAAACACAGCATCTTGTGGAGCAAGGCAATAATATCAGTTTATTATCCCCCCCCCCCCCCCCCTTTCATAGGTAGAAATAGTTGAGAAATCATTACAGTCAATCCGCAGGTTGATACTGAGATCAAACAGCGCCAATAAAATGCAAATATTTTGAAACAACTGACATGTTTTATTAGCATCCTTTGTTTCATTAAGAGAATGCAAATTCCTATGGTTGCAAGGATCTCTGTCTTTAAACAATTACTTCTTTCCCTATGATTACCCCAAAACCTAGATAACAACTCGAGACCAAAAACCATATCTCCTCTTAATGTGTCTTAGAGTCATAGATTTTGCATCAATGTCCTTTCCTGCGTTTTCCTTTATTAAGATACATTGGAGATATGAGTATCGGGAAATAATTTGAAGTCACTTTATTCCGTTGTCCACGGAGCTGTTGATGGATGACTAAAATTGTGACAATTTTCTGGTAAAACCCTCTGCATGAACCCCCGTAAACCTCATCATGCTTCCTCATGTCCAACATGGATGAGGTGACCATTTTTAATATTTCCTTGGGTTAAGTAACATGTAATCTGTTTGAATCCATACCAACATTAGCATCCCTCATATGGGAAAAACATATGTAATTGTAGCTCAAAGCAAGTCGTATCCAAGTAATTCTAAAACATCACAGACATAATTACCATCAAATTTAGCAGGCAAATAAACATCCGTTGCTGGATTCCACATTTCAGTATCGATCCCATTTAAAATGCCAGAATACCTGAATGATCACATAACTCGTTTTTAACAGCTTTATTAGGAAAACAGATACATAAAAAGCAACTTAAACATAAAAACTGGTAGTGACATGACATTTAATATGTCACATGCTAATTTCCAGAGAGGTTCAGAAAGAGAGGCTGAAGCATGATTAGTGAAACAGAACTTAATGTAACAAAGGCAAGTGTTGAAGACATTACTTATCACGGTTTCGCATCAAAGCACTAGAAAGCCATCCGGAACAGAGTGTCTCCTTCAGATACGTCGGTGAAACTGTACTGAAATTAAGAAGAGAGATTAAAGAAAATGGTTTCTGTTACTGATGACATAAAGAATGAAGATAGTCCACGCATGTTCAAAAGCTTTACAAATGCTATGATTTCACTACAAACAATATGTTATCTTAGTAGATGTAACCTTTTTTCGGGACTTCTCCTTATTAGAGGCACCAAGAAGTAAAGCGGGAGAACCAAGAACATGAGTAGCGTGGTTAAAGTTCTTATTAGGGAGAAATGAAAAGGGAATTGACTGATTAAACTGTGACCAATGCAAGTGGAGAAAATGATATTCACACGAAGAGCGAGTAAACCTTGTAGGCAAATTAGGTAGCTAAGCAAGTTTTAGCTAACTTACACTACAGCATTGCTGTATACTATGCCACCTTTCAGCAAACTTAACCTCTCTGGATTATGGCCAACTGTGCGATCATCGACGGCCTGCCACAGAGCAAAAGAAATTCATTCGAGCAACAAGAACTGTACCCTAATGGTAAAAGAACACACGAGTATGTGGCCAAAAATAATATAACACATTCAAAGCTATAAACGACTACACAGAGGCACTGGATTCCTGGTAGTATTTTTAACTGAAAAATAACAGACTACAAATTATGATTAAATTTTGAATAAATGAGGACACCTTGTCTTCAGTTGCATAGGCAGATCCATCAAGACCAAACTTACTGAGTTGCTCTTGTCTGCCAAAGAAATTAGATGAAGTCCATGAGAAGAATTTAGTAAATCCAAGAAACATTGTTGCATCACAAGCAGCTACCAATGGTTAGCTTCACATCCTATTATTTTAGCTTAGCTGCAGATCAATATCATGGCCTCTTTGAGAAAGAAAAGGAAAAAAACTACTTGAGCTTTACTCCATTGCATAGTTCGGTTCCAAGTGTTGCACAGCAATGAACTGGACCAAAAGAAGATCAGAGAAGGAATATGTATGTTTGACAGATCAAATCCCTGCAGCTTTTGAGAGAACTAATCTCTTTAGCTTCTTATATTAACAAATTTTTAATGAGTAAACTGGTGCAAATGGGAGGAGCAAGGCAGGTCTAGGCAAGTCAAAAAGAGGTGAAGCTGCTAAGGGGGCAGGGTATGGCAGGTTAAACTTGTAGCTCGGAAAAGCTTAAGCCCCAATGTCCCACCCCGCCACGGCCCCTTTGCCATGTCTAGTCATTGTAAAATTTACTTTCAAGTTGCAAATTTTCCCTCACTACTTGAATCCTGTGGTTGATAAGACTGTCTACTACTGACCAACTGAGCCTATTTGGATATGTGACTAGCCTGCAGAGATCCTTAGGCAACAGTGGAACAACTCTTTCTTCAACAAACGAACATAGCAGAGAAGAAGCCAATTGGAAAATTCCATACTACAAAGTTTTCCTTTGGTATGTTTGCAACAACAACAACAACAACAACAACAACCGAGTAAAATCCCACAAGTGCGGTCTGGGGAGGGTAGAGTGTAGGCAGACCTTACTCCTACCCCGGAGGACTAGAAAGGTTGTTTCTAAAAGACCCTCAGCTCAATAAGAAGAAAATAAACAATAGACTACAGATCGGTGACAACAACAAAAGCCAGAAAAATAATATCAGCATCGTAAGAAACATAAAAATAGATGTAAAAGCAATAACAATAACCAATAATAATGCCATATAAAATAGTTAGAAAATAGTGTGGAAACTACATAAACCACTAACAACCCACGGCGAAACATTATCAGCCTGGCCCCGCCCCCGGAACAACGTAGAAAAACGCTCGACTCCCTCTTAACCTACAACCCTAATGCTCGACCTCCAAACCTTCCTATCCAGAGCCATGTCCTCGTAAATCTGAAGTCGCGACAAGTCCTGCCTGATTACCTCACCCCAATACTTCTTAGGCCACCCTCTATCTCTCCTCGTACCTGCTATCGTCAACTGCTCACACCTCCTAACCAGGACATCTATGTTTCTCCTCCGCACGTGCCCAAATCATCTAAGCCTCGCTTCCCGCATCTTATCGTCCATGGGAGCCACGCCCACCTTATCCCCAATATCTTCATTCCTAATCTTATCCAGCCTAGTGTGCCCGCACATCCATCTCAACATCCTCATTTCTGTCACTTTCATCTTCTAGGTATGAGAATTCATGGTTGCCCAACAATCATCCCTGTTAGCGGAAACGTAAAAGAAAGAACACAAGATTTAACGTGGTTCGGATCAAAATAATCCTACGTCCACCAGAGAACAGTTGCCTTTTTAATATTAACAAAGGAAGGGGAGAGTTCCCAATTACACTTAAGATAATTTCTCTCTTAACTCTCTACTCACTACAATGTGTTGTATTANTCACTTTCATCTTCTAGGTATGAGAATTCATGGTTGCCCAACAATCATCCCTGTTAGCGGAAACGTAAAAGAAAGAACACAAGATTTAACGTGGTTCGGATCAAAATAATC